TGGGGCCCTCGGCGGTCTTGCCCCCCTCCGAGCCGGTTGAGGGCGGAAGTGCGGGGCCTTTCTCTGTTGTCATTGTGGCGGTCCCAGGACTGAACTTCCTGGGAGGCCGTGTCTTGGGCCACTACCCCTTCGTCATTCCTAACCCGAGGGATGGGGTTTCCGAAGGGGTGTGGCAGAGGGGGAAGTACGATGTTCTCCCCAACCTGGGGTTGAGCCGGAGCCAGGGTGCCGGAGCCAGGGTGCCGAAGGCACCCGGGTTCTGAGTTAGCGTCTGGATGAAGGCGGAGAGTGCCGAATGAACGTCGATGGTGAGGACCGGAGGGCTGACTTGGTCATCGCTCCGGTTTTTCTTCTTGGCCTCGATGCCGAGGCGGGCATCGGGGGCATTCTGCTGGATCTGAAGGCGTAGGTCGACAGCCGCCTGTTCCAGCCCAGCGATGACACCGCCCTCGGGAGCCTTGTGAGAGGCTTCGGGGGCGTTGACGTCGCCGAGGGCCAGGTTCTTGTCTTCTACGTTTTTGGAGTTGGCACGTGTTGTTCTCACCATTTTTGTAGAGGGCTAGTGTTTGGCGAAGGGGGAGGGTTTCTTACTTGATCGTTCGACCTCTCAATGAAAGCACCAAATGATGGATAGTGTACCCGGGGTAGCTTATCCGAGGGGTTATTGCGGAGAATAACTAGAGAGAAGTCAGAGCAAATGAGTAAGAGAGAGAGTGTATATTCGATATGTATTAAGCGTGGTTTACAATGGGGGAAAGGGGTGCTATTTATAGCAGTAATAAATGTTAGATAAGGACACGTGTCAGTTTTCTGGTGGTCGAGGGGTCACCTCGACCGGGGTGGCACTGGCACTCGCATGTGGCCGCATTAAATGCGGTGGTTGGATGTGACGTTTGTACTTGGTACGGTGATCCAGGCGCATGTGAAGAGGATATTATGTCGAGGTGGATGCCTTCGGCTGAAGGGTGCTGGGCCGAAGGCTCTTCTAACCGAGGGCTCCTACCCGCCGAGGGCTGCAGGTGCCGAAGGCTTGGTTTTCAAGCCTTATTCTCCTGTGATGCCTCTTCTAACCGAGGGCTCCTACCTGCCGAGGGCTGCAGTTGCCGAAGGCTTGGTTTTCAAGCCTTGTTCTCCTGTGATGCCTCTTCTAACCGAGGGCTCCTACTTGCCGAGGGCTGCAGTTGCCGAAGGCTTGGTTTTCAAGGCGTGCTCTCCTGTGATGCCTCTTCTACCCGAGGGCTCCTACCTGCCGAGGGCTGCAGTTGCCGAAGGCTTGGTTTTCAAGCCTTGTTCTCTTGTGATGTTTCTAAGCTCGATTCCGTCACTGGTAGCCTTCGGCCATAAAGCCGAAGGCACCCCTTTGCGTATTGTGGGCTGCTTAGAGCTCCATTTTGCTGGGCTTGGCCCGTTTGGGCCTATTGGGCCTGATTGTAGTAGAGGAAGTATGTGGGCCGGGGGTCCCTGGGCCATATACTCCATCACACTATTTTTAATAAAATACGGTAAATGTTCTCCGGCATTTACCCCACTGATTTTGGTGGTTTGCCTTCCGGGTTAAAAAAAAGTCCCACCTAACCTTTTAAAATAATAATAATAATAGTGTATATATAATTTCATACAACCATTAGTATAAAAATATTTTCAAAACAATTTATAAATCATAAGCAAACGATATCTATACACAATCAAAATCATATAACTCGTGAATCATAATTATTCCAAAATACATGAAACACCAAAATTTTCCCTCTATTGAATTCCTCCAAAAATCACTTTGTAACTAACTTCCTAGTAATTTAGAAGGGCGGTGCTCAACACTCTGGTTGAGCCCGGTGATCCGTTGTTATGTACGGCAACCCCGGAACTATCGCCGGTACCACAACTGCTCCTTGGAAACGGAAACAACTACTTTAAGTGTGCACACCCCCTAAAGGTATTCCAAGCCCTCCGGGTTAGTAAGTCGATCCGGGTAGCCGGGATGTTTTCTACCAACTACCCCACCTCAAAAACTGAATGATTAGGAGCTACTACTACCACTACCACTCAAAAGCCGAGATGTTTTCTAGCGACCGTCAATTCACCTCAAACCAAAACCAACAAAAAAATTTGAATAGTAGTAGACCTAACCACCCTCCACATTTTAAGGGACGTGGAAAATCAACACCACGGATTTCTCCCGTGATGCTCACCCTTTATGAAAATATTTATTTTTCTTTATTTTCTCAAAATCAATCGAAGTTTATACTTCAAAAATTTCCTTTTCATCAAACTCCCACAAAGATAACAAATTACGTACTATTACAAAATCTCCCAAAATCGTATACAATAATTCATATCAACAAAACAATATATAACCTAATAGCTCAAATACAACTCTTTCATATGATAATATTCACTCAAATTCAGCACACATAAATTCAATTCTCAAATATGCACACAAAATACTTAAAAGAAATCACGAAGAAAAAGAACTAATTTCGGTTGACTTGAAATTTACCTCGAATTGCGATTAATCCTAACCGAAGCTTCTACCTTGATCTCCTTCAGATTCACCTTCTAGAATATTAAAATTCTAGGATTAATTATTTATTTAGCATATTGAGAGTACTCAACCCGCCTCTGATTAACTCTATTAATTATCTCATTATATCAATTTAATCTATTGTGTGAAATCCTTCTATTTGATTATAATTTCTATAGTGAATCAATCAACTCAATTAAAATACATTCGTTGTTTCGTTCTGTCCAACCTGATCAGCCAATCCGATATTATTCCCCATGCTTATCTTATCACACTCATCCTTTTTTTTATTAGCATTATCATAATACTTATTATTATTAACATTGTCATAATACTTATATATATATATATATATACACACACACACACACACACGATCTATCGCACTGCCCTGCACCGGCTTTCCCCACTGCTGTCACGCCAGAAGAGTAGGAACCACGTCGACCCACCATCGTTCGCCGGGGAAAGTTTTTCTTGGGTACAACTGCCGGAGCTGCTAAGCTCACCGGACTGGTTCACGTCGGGGGAAGAGGGAGAAGCTGGATGGAGTTGCTACCACCTCACTGGACTGCTACCACCCATCACCAACTTACTGCCGCGCGGTGCCGTCGGAAAGAAAAGCAACTAAGTCGTCGCCGGAGAAAGGGGAAGAGCGGCCGCCTGGATCGTCAACCACTTTTTGTTATGTGCGTAGAACCAAGCTGCGCCACCGTCGCTCGTCTGGAACGCCATCACCAGAGTCGGAAGAGGGGACTGAGGCCGGATCTGTCTTGCCGTTGGAGGCTTCCTACGCTCGCCGGCAAGGAACGATGAAGAATAACGAACAGTGCACGTACGTTATACTTCGTACCACGTTAATATTTTCTTATCTATTTAGACCAGAATTTAATACTCCGTATTTGGGCTGGGCAATGACAATGTTAATAATAATAATATGTATACACACACACACACACGAAGTATATTGTTACATATATTCGCAGGTTTTCCTTCTCTCCGGCGACAACTCGTCCGGCGAACTCCGGCGAGTGATATCTCCCTCGTTTCATGACCGTTTTCTACGATTCTTTCACCGTTGTATTCCTCTCATCCGGAAGAAGATTGTGGGAGTGATTATATGTCTCGTTTTTGTATATATATATGTATATATATATATATATGTATATATATATGTATATATGTATGTATATATGTATATATATATATATATGTATATATATATATATGTATGTATATATATATGTATGTATATATATATATATATATATATGTATATATATATATATATATGTATATATATATTACGTATATATGTGTGTATATTAGTATATATGTATAGCTGCGTGTGAATTTGTTTTCATGTGTGTTCAGAATAGTTTGAGATTCCCGGGAACATATACTAGTAGTCGAGGGTTTAGGTGATAGGGATGAAGGTTAGTAGGCTTCCGGCTAAAGTTACGCAATTAGCTCAGCTCTTATCTTCTTATTATTTGTTTGAGTAGATTTCCATTCTACATAGGATTCTTAATGCAGACATGTTTTGGGTCTTAATTCGTAGCTTTCATAAGTTTAGTTTGTATCTATTTGTTTTTTTCATTATTAATATAGAGGGTACATAACTAATACTAGGCTTGGACTCGGGTCGGGCCACCCGGCCCGTGGACCGGCCCGGCCCGCTACTGTGCAGGACCAGGACCGGCCCGGTTCTCGGGTCCGGGTCGGGCCTAGGCCCGGGGGTAGGACTGATCCGGGCACGAGTCTCAATTTTGGTGAACCGGCCCGGCCGGGTCAGGCCCGGGCCCGGGCCAAATTGATTTTTTTTTATTTTTTTTCAATTTGGGGTTCCACCCGGGATGGGCTTGATGGGTAGGATGGGTTTGGGGGGTTTGGAAGGGTGGGGGTGGGGGGGTTAGGAAAGCAAAAAAAAAAAAATCCAAACCAGAGGCCCGGTCCGGTGCCGGGTCCACCATTCTTGAACCGCCGGCCCGCCCGAGCCTAGGCCCGACCCGGACCCGGCCCGGACCCGAGTCCACCCCTAACTAATACTGGTACTCCATATTTGCGTACTAATAAGACCATTTGCGTAGAATAGTAATACTATTAATACTAGGGTATCTATTTACTAACTAATATGTGATATTTTGTATACTATTGAGTGTATAATAAATTGATTAGATATTTGCTACTTTTAATATTCCCTTCATATGTGTAAGGGTCGCGGCATTAGCTATTACAAAAATGTCACTTTCATTATTGAAACATTTTAAAAAAGTCGCAACTGTTAAAATTTTATCGCGTTCACTTAATTACCAAAAATGCTACTTTCGTAGCATTTTATCTGACTAAAAATATTTTTTTTTTTTTTATAAATTTTATTTTGTCTAAAAATTTTGAGGTGTCACAACTTTGGCTAACCTTTTCGGGACAGAGGGAGTATAAAATACACAGAGACTAAACCAAATCAAACCAGCCCAGCAAATTTAAGTCGGAAAGAAGACATCCTTAATCATATTAAAAAAATCAGCGTTGCTTGAGGAGTAAAAAAAATCAAAGAATATTTCTATAGAAACTCTTGAACCCAACCTGCATATAGCAGCGTTGCTTGAAAAACTTGACAGATTTTCAACTAATTACATTTTCTGCAACCCACTTGTAGCCTCTATCTGCCTTTTGCAATGCAACAAACCATACATCAAGAGATGTAAAACGAACTATATGAAAAGTACAAGGAAAAAAGGCCTTTAACATGATGCCTCGGCAACTATTTTGAGGTCAAGAGTAGAAGATAAAGGCGGCTGATCAATAAATTCCTTGCGGGACGCTTCCCATAGCTGTCGTTCAATCCCCAATTTCGTGACTTCCGTCAACCCCCTTTCAACTGTGGGAACAAAAAGTAAGCGCTGCAATTAGGGGAATCATCAATCCAGAAATGATAGATAACAAGAGCATTGATTGCTAGGTATTCTTAAAAAGATAGATGGCCACTATGTGGGCAGCACCCTTACACTTACCTATGCAGTCAGCGCATACGCGATGCACTGATAATATGTGATTGTTTACAAAAACATGAAACAATAAAAAAATGGCTGCAAGTATATAAAACAAATACTTCTCATTGAGTATGTGAGTGCATAACTTCAAAACATCCTCTGGGATCAATACTAAAGCAGATGATGCTCTTACAACAGAACTTAAGGCCATTTTTAGCGGGGCTAAACTCTGCCAATATCTATGTTTAACATGAATGAAGATCGAGTCAGATTCTAAAAGTTCTTTTGATATGATCAATAATGATACTTTGTCTTCAAATCAGAGATATTTTTAGGAGGAATGGAAATTTTTTAGTAAAGAACAAAGCCTTGTCTGAAATTATCCAGACCTTCAAATGGGGAGATATATCTCATGAAAGTTAAGGGTGAAATCTTACTAAAAAAATGGAATGTTAAACTTGGAAGAGGTAAGAAATGAGCCCGGAATTTTTTTCTCCCGGATATCTAGAAGGATCAGTTGCTTGGGGAAATCCATTTGAATTAGAGTTTATTAGGATGGTTTGTAAAACAATAATAACATGGATTTAGGAAATTGATGTCGGGTGGAGATTTTAGCCTTACGCATAGTCTTGATTGGTCTCATCCTTATCTCTTTGGATTGGGGCTTGGATTTGGGTTTAATGGCTGCAGCATATATGGAGAACTTCAGACTAGTCCGGTTGGAGGATCTTGGAGGGGTGGACTGGTTTATGCTCGACTAACTTATCTCTATTTGTTAGTCTTTAGGATGTTTTTACTTATCGGATGAGACTTAAATAGACCAGACCCAACTTAAACAAACATGATAAGACCAAACTATGACAGCTATAAAATACACATAGATCAGACATCAACCGGACCAGACGAGACTTGAATGGACTAGACCAGAAAATTCCAGCTCAAGTAAAAACATCCTTAGACTCGAAAATAACTATGATGATATGTTCAGGTAAATCGTGTATTTCTATGTTGTACATATTCATTTTCTTTGAAAATCTTAACCATCTCAGGCTCCGTTAGAACCTAGAAAATACTAGAAACATGAAAATATGAAGTAAAAGTAAAAGGTCAGAACATTTGGAGGGGAACCAACCATACACTGAACTTCAGCAAACAGAGAGAATGGATTGTTTAAGATAAAGGGAGGATGGCCGGGGCCAAGGTAGTAAGAGATCGCGAACACGGTAGTAGAGATGGCTAGGGCCAACCGGCCAAGGTAGTAAGAGAGCGCGAAGACGTTAGTAGATATGGCTAGGGATGTCAAAAAAAAAACCGGCCCGCAATGACCCGCCCTGGCCCGAGACATTGGGGGCGGGTCTGGCCCGCCCCGTCTTGCAAATGGGGCGGGTCCACCCTGCCACACCTATACAATGGGGCATGTCTGGGTATTAGTATTGACCTGTGCCGCCCCGACCCGCTCAATATATAAGTATATACATACTTTTTCTTAAATCATACTACAAATATACTTCAACATACATATGTGTGTATACAATAAATCATACTCCCTCCGTTCCATTTAAATCTTTACGCTTTCCTTTTGGGGACGTCCCATTTACTCCTTTACATTTCCTTTTTAGGCAACTCCTTTTACATTAAATGTTCTAACTACCCTTCACTATCCACCCACTTTTTATATTTGAGTGGATAACATTAAATCCCTCCAAAAGTCAAAGGGCATGCAAGACATTTGTTCTTCAATTAATTGAGCTCCTAAAATACTGTGCCAAAAGCAAACGTCAAGTTTTATCCGGGACAGAGGGAGTAAATTCTTTGATCTTATAATATATCAATATATATATTAGATTGAGATGAATGACGGATTATCAATGTCTTCTTTATATATAGCATTTTAATACATATATTCAAGTATTAATATAATTAAATAGATTAACTATTCAAGTCTAAGTGATTTTTCCTTAACTTTTGTAATTTCTAGTGTATCGTGAATTTGATTTAATATATTACTCCCTCCGTCCCCCTGTTATTGTCTCATTGCGGTTTACGATGCTTGACCGACGATAAAGCAAACAGATCCCTGTCCGCACTCAAATTATTTTTAGGAAAAAAAATTACATATTCTGAAACTACATTAAAAGATTTACAAAGTCGCAAAAACCATAATCAAATTTAATAAAAATTTGATAAATAAAGTAAGAGATTAAGAGTGATTTGTGTTGACCAAGTGAATAAGAAATGGGACAATAACAGGGAGGACGGAGGGAGTAATTTTTAATAATTATTTAAAGATAAACTTTGTGTATATTCAATTGGTAACAACTTCTCACAAATAAAAATACATACTAGCTAATTAGGTTACGGCGGGGCGGGGCAGGACAGAGCGGACCCGCCCCGCATGGGGCGAGTCATGGGTCACCAAGTTTGGATCCGTGCAAGTCACAGGGCGGGTCTGGGTCTTGCAGTACCCGCCCCGACCCATTGCCATGCCTAGAGATGGCCAGGGCCAAGGTAGTGAGAAAAAGATCGCATCACGATAAAGGCAAAGGGAAACTACATTTAACTGGGATCATCATAATTTCCTTGGTGTTAATGAAGACGATTCTTCTGGTCTTAAACTTGATGAGAATGATGATGATGATGGGGGGAATGCTAGTGGTTTAGATCCCTATTTCAAACTATTAGATAACGACGAATTGCATGATTTGCTTTTGCACTCCTCAATCTAATAGTCCTAGAACTTTAATTAATTAGGTTACAAGTGTTGTGTGATGTTTGAACATAACTATTTGGATTGGGTCTATGACCTTATTTTAATTGGTTTTTATTTTGACATTTGTTAATTTTAAGTATTCTTAATTTGATTACATTATTTGTACCTTTTTTATATAAATTTGTGTAAAATTTAAGGCTTACGCCTCATTGCACAATGTGGCCTATGAAATAGGCAATGCTTACAAGCCGCTTTAAATACGTAATATGCAATTTCAATGACCAGACCCTTCTAGTACAGCCTACATTTTGTCCAATAAGGACTAATACACATGCAAAACAAAGTAATAAAAACAACATAGTATGCTACATTGCTACATACCATCAACAGCATCATGGATCGTCGGCGATTGACCATTACGGCTTATCCAGAATCGAAGTCTCTCTTCTGCAATGTCCTCTTCAACGCCATGGACTTTAGCTCTTCTCCAGAAATAAGTTAGCCATGCCTGTAAAGGTCATTCATAGAGCTTTCAAACAGCATTTCTATAACTGACAAAGCACGCCGCCAGTATTTAACCATGACAGTTTTCGGAGTTTTGATTTGTGCACCTTGTGTTTACCGCAACATTTGAATTTGCACCCGAGCTGTACTTTTTAAATTTACACCCCGAGTGGGGTGCAAAGTCAAACATTAGGGTAAACATGCAGAGGAAAGTCTAAGAACATATTGGTATTTGAACCCTCATATTTACCGTCATTATTGACTGTATACCCCTACTACTCTCGATGAAAGTACAAAATGTGGAGTGCGAGCTGCTAAGTCAAATGATAGGTTAAATATGGGGAGTAAATACCAAATTTCCCAATTAGTGATATGCATATGTAATTTCACTTAACACTCCATGAAAACATTTCCAGAATGCCCGTTTGGTAACACCAAAATAAAAGATTATGGGGAATAAAAATGGGAACAGACAGAAGAAAAATGGGAGGATGGAAATGTGAGGGAGAGTAAAAGATGGGCTAATACACATGAAATTAACTTGGATATTTGTTGATGCTCGTTTTACTTATGCCTAGTATATATATACAACAACAACATCCAAGCCTTAATTCCAAAACATTTTGGGGTCGGCTAACATGAAACGATCTATGATATCGATGCCAAAAAGAGAAGACGCACAAAAAGAAAAAAAGGATAAAATGAATAAGATAAAGATAAATAAATATAAGATAACAATAACATAAGAATATAAGAAAGATATAAGATTAAAAGATAAAAGAGCATAAAAAAGCTAGAAGATAAAAATAATGTAAGAACATAAAAATACAAGGAAGATAAACGGTAAAAGAAAACGAAAGGAAAAAAAAAGAAAAGAGATCAATCGTCCACACGAATGTGCGCCCTCCACTTTGCCCTCTCCAAAGCCTTACTCTCATCCAACCCAAGAAGACGCATATCAGTTTTGATTCCTCTAATCCGAGTCTGTTTGGGTCCTCCCCTCCCTCTCCTCTTTGTCTCTTCTCCCCACCCCTCAAGTCGCATAATAGGTGTGTCACTCGGTCTTCTACGCACATGCCCAAACCATCGCAAACGAGACTCCTGCATCTTATCTTCTATAGGTGCTACTCCCACCTTTTGTCTGATTATCTCATTCCTCGAGCAGTCTTTTCTGGTATGTTCACACATCCAACGCAACATACACATCTCTGCCACACTCATCTTTTGAATGTGACATTGTTTCACAGCCCAACACTCTACGTCATACATTAATGCAGGCCTAATTGTTGTTTGATAAAATATACCTTCCAGTCTAGTCGGCATACCTCGATCGCATAGAAATCCTGATGCACTCTTCCATTTCATCCACCCAGCTCTGATTCTATGGGATACATCTTCATCTAATTCACCATCCTTCTGAATTATGGAGCCCAAGTAACGAAACATATCACACACCGATATCTCTTTACCATCAAGAGTAATCTCACTGTTGCCACTACTTGTACCTCCACAGAACTTGCTCTCCATATATTCAGTCTTGCTTTGGCTCAATCTGAAAGCCTTGGTCTCCAATGTTTGTCGTCATACTTCCAATTTCGCATTAACACCGGATTGTCTCATCAATCAATACAATATCGTCAGCAAACATCATGCATCACGGTATATCTTCTTGAATTGACTTCATGACTATAGCAAATAAGAAAGGACTCAGAGCAGATTTTTTGTGCACTCCGATAGTAATAGGGAACTCTGCGGTCCTCCCTACACTAGTGTGGACACTTGTAGTACAAGCATCATACATATCCATGATGATACTGATACACTTACGTGATATGCCTTTTCTAGTTACGGCCCACCAAAGAACTTCTCGAGGTACCCTATCATATGCCTTTTGTAAGTCGATGAACACGAAATGTAGATCCTTTTTTATGTCTCTATACTTCTCCACAACTTGTCTAAGAAGGTGAATGGTCTCAGTTGTTGAGCGTGCAGGCATAAAACCAAATTGATTCTCCGAATCTTCACACTTTTACGAAGTCTTTGCTCAACCACTCGTTCTCAAAGTTTCATGGTGTGACTCATAAGCTTAATCCCTCGATAGTTGTCACATTCTTGTACATCACCCTTATTTTTAAATAAGGGAATGAGAGTACGCTTCCGCCAACTCACTGGCATTTTGTAATTTCTCCAAATCATGTTGAAGAAACGTGTTAGCCACTCGATACCTTTCTCTCCCAAACTTCTCCAAGCCTCGATCGGTATGTCATCTGGGCCCACTGCTTTCTTCCGTCCCATCTTTCTCATAGCCTCTTTAACTTCTGTTATTTGGATCCTTCTAATGAAGTCCCGCTTTACCACTCTGATATAGTAAAATCATCAATACCTTTCACTTTATTCCCGTTGAACAAGGTATCAAAGTATGACCTCCATCTCTCCTTTATATAAAGAATAAGAAATGCAAAAATGAGTGAATTACCTAAATAGGTCAAAAAAGTGGTCAGAGCACAAATAGGACTACATCTTTTAAATTCCACCCAGTAGGACTATTGATATGTGTTTGGACAAATATATCCTTGTAGCTTTTGAAATATCTTAATTAATAATAAAATCATAAAAAATAATAAAAACGTAAAAAAATAATAAAAATGAAAAAAATTAAAATATTTTTATAAAAAATTAAAAACGTAAAAAAAACCGCCGCCTCTTCCACCCGAGCACCACCATCTCCCATCACTAATTAAAAATCTGCCAACATTTTTACTAATGCAATAATAATGACAGATTCAATGAGAATTTTGGCATTATGAAGAGTAATGTTGTCATTTTCTTAGCATTTTCAGAAAAAAAGAAGACATTTTTTACAAAAAAAAATGGAAGAATTTTCAATGATTAAAGGTGGAGGTGTTAGGAGGCGGTGGGAAAGGTAATCCATATTTTATGGGTTTTTACTATCTTTTACTATTTTTTTAAATTCAAAATAAGAAAATGATTTTTTAAAATTTTTTATAAATTTTTTTATTAATTTTTTATCATTTGTTTTACGATTTTTTATTTTTATTTTTTACGATTTTTTATTATTTTATATGATTTTATTATGAATTAAGACATTTCATTATGAATTAATACCCTTAGGGGTATTTAGGGTAGAAATCAATGTTTAGTCCTACCTGGAGGGAATTAAAAATCAGTAGTACTATTTGTGCTTTTTAGGTAGACTAGTCCTATTGAGGGCAATTTATATTCAAAAATATGTGAAGAGAAAAAAAAATACCTATCACATTTCAAAATTTCATTTTTCATTGCACTTTTCAATTTAAAATCAAAAGTATAAGAAATAACTTTCTTCAAATTTTCCCTTCCCCAAGCATTTTTCCTAGGATTCAAAACTACCTCTTTAACTATATATACACACACATACACCACCCCCCACACACATGTGTGTAGATATATATGTATATGTACTTATATATACATATGTTCATGCACTATACTCTCTTCGTCCTGCTAAGATTGTCCCATATTTTCTTTCTGGTCTACCGCACTAAGATTGTCTCATATCAAATTTCATAATGTTTGTGTGGCTCTAAATCGCTCTTGCTTTTATTCTTACTTTATCATTTCAATATTGAGCACATAAACTCACTTTTCTTAATAATAATTGTGTCACCTTCTTATGTACCAAACTTGGGGCAGGGGTAGTAATAAGTAAATGGAATATAAACACAAACACAACTATACTAATAATTATTTATATATATATATATAAATATTTTTGTCTCAAACTCTTGCTGAAGTAAAAAGTAACGAGCCAAACACCAGCCAAAAGTAACGAGCTCTAACCACTAAAACTTTTTTGAGCTCGAACTACAGCCAACCCAGGTTTGAGCTTGGCCCGGTTCATTTGCACCCCTACTATGGCTATGTCAGAATTAGTAACAAGAGATGTTAAATCTTAGCGCCCACCCAGAAAAAAACTCAAGAAAAAAATCAGACCTGCTTGAAAAGGACATCATTAGCCTCCTCCTCGCTTAAGTCTGCAGCCAAACATGCAAAGGCCAAGCCATTTAGTGATTTACAATTTACTTGAACAGCAGGAAGGTGCTTGTTATGGTTTGGTAAGTGGAAAAAAAGCAAATTGCACAAAAATTATAAAGTTTATATATACAAAATAAAGATTCTATACACCCCTTAACAAAAAAAATAGCAGACTCTATACAGGGAACAAGATATGACTGAGCATATACAGAGTGTCAGTGTACCCTAATAAACAAGATATTAATGTACAAAACAAGTTAAAGGCCAACCCACTTATGCAAACAATGTTTTGAAGATGCAAGCTTAGGAGTAGTGCCTCAAAAGTTAAAAAAGACAAAGAAAACCTCATCAATTACAAGCTTACTACATCCTAGATTGTTGTGGCTACACCAAGTCAACCTCAAAAGTTAAAAAAGACATAAACAAAACCTCATCAATTTACAAGCTTACTACATCCTAGACTGTTGTGGCTACACCAAGTCAACCCCATCAGGAACCAGGTAAATAGAGAATATGCAAATACATCAATGAACCTTTTCTGCGTGATGCAAAAAGTGAAGACAAAGCATTTACTACATCAAAATATAGAATTATTTTTATTACCATATACATCATCATATTTAGAGTCACCTGATTGTTTAATATCTGCAAGGAAAACAAACATAAACCATACTTAATGACCAATAACTAGAACAATATTTATTACATGAAAAGATGTAATCATTCATATATATCATATTCATGGATTTGAGGACTTATATTACAACGAGTAGCATTTATCAGAATAAACAAGATCATCAGAGGGAAAAATACTAAGTCATGATTATAACCATTTTATCTGCATTTCAGTAAAATAACTTGGATGCTAGCAGCTACGCAGAGTTCACCATAACTTTATAAAAATTAACTGGATATACGATGATGTTTCAGATAGTTATATACCAGAAAATGACTGCCGAACAACATTCGAACGCCGAGTTTGAGACAGTGCTAAAACAACAGCATCTTCAACCTTAAAAATAGAAGAAATGATATGAAGCAAATAGAAACATCCCATGAGAACATTTTATATAGATAAAATAAAGGATCAAACGAAAAGAAAACCTTCAGGGATGCCAATTCCCTTAGAGCCATTTCAACAGAAAGCATACTCTCAATGTTTCCTTCCCCGGTAAAGTCGCTCAATTCATGGACAAGTTTACCCCTATCCGAATTGTCTCCACCTGCGCCATGTCAGAAGAGATCATTAAAGTCAATTGGACTTCCAAAATAAGATAGAAGCCATCTGTGGCAATAAATCAATTTTTAAAACAAATACAATATAAAAATAAATTTATGAATGGAAGAATCAGCACCACTCCAGGAATCATCTTTGGCCTTCTGGCCAGCAGAAATTACTATTTCAAGCGGAAGAGGTGCTAAAGATGACCAGAGTTCATGTTTTGGGACTGCAATATCCTCAAAGATACCTGTAAAATAATATATGAAAGAAATGTTGACAAAATAACATTACATCAGCTAAACTTCAATGGAGCACCACCTCAGAACAAGGTTTAATTTTGAAGATCATATAACACTACAGTTTTGACGTGCATCATAAGTAAGTTCATTTTTTAAAAAAAGGTGTGAAACATTAAAAGATGGGATGACTTTTAAAATTTCAGTAGAAAAGCATAAAGCTATTTACCATAATTTACTGCTAGGCCCCAGTATCGAGCAAGCCAACATCTCTTCAAAACAACCTCCTCCTATGGACACAATAGAACAAGAGAGGAGAAGAAAAAAATTAATTCTATTGCAATGTCAAATGAATGAACAATCACTATTAACGTCAATATTTAAAATTCAACCATCTCTTCGTGAGTCAGAATCATCCTCTGGGTCATTCTGCGAAGAGTGTTAGCTTCAGATTCAGCTTCACGTAGTTGCTCTACAGCATGTGCAGTATCATCTTTCAAGTTCTGAAAATATGTTTAATAATGAGCAGTGTGCTCCATGCAATAACGAGAACATACAATGAAGAGTGAGCATGACTCACATCAATCTCTACACGAAGAGATGCCGTTTCTTCGTCTCTCTCGCCCTTATTTTGCATCGCAGCTTTAAGAGCGGCCTGCATGAATTGAAAGCAGCCTAAGAATGTTATTATAGCTTCTCCATTATAACATGCATGATGTCATTTGCTTAGTCTAAACACTGCTAGGGCTGACAGTTGGCCATTTCTATACAGAGAGGGGCTATAGAAATAAAGAAAATACTCATTAATATGTATCGATATTAAAATTTGCACATGAGTGTATAATACCTCTCTTTGACGAAGCGCTGCTTCCTTCCTGCAGGTAACCATATTGAAATTACAAAATAAATATTAAGCATCAAAAGTCCACAAAGTAGTGAACTCAATTAGAATTAATTCCACTTTAGGTTCTACGAGTATAATACAAATTCCACATAGGTTCATGTCTTTGACTTCACCCACATTTAGTCATGACTATTCTTGTACATATGTGGTCCTTCCATCCAAATCTTCGGCACCTCTCTAGCGATTTTAAATACCGCAAATTCAGCCAAAAAGGTCTCCATAGGGACAAGGAGCAATAGTATAACAACGACATTACCCCAGTTCCGCAAAGGCACCTACCTACGGTGGGGTAAGGCTCCCACGAGGAGCACTAGTCAAGTACCAAAATTTGACAAAGTCAAATTCTTTGACCTGATGAGGGATTGGTATAATAGTTGTAAATGGAAGATATGTTCCTAAAGGACCCAAATAATTACTTATAGCAAAGCTTGTAGGATCTTTTTGTATTGATGCTTGTATGACGTTGTCATATTTTATGCTTTTCAACTTTAAATTGATTTAGATCTATACACCAACACCTAATAAAATTAGTAGGAGTATCTATCTTAGGATTGGGTCGGGATAGCTCAGCTGGTAGAGTGGAGGGCTGAAAATCCTCTACCTAAGTCTATACGTCTAACCAAAAAATCTGGTCATCTCGTAGTAAGACCCCTTTTCCTAACATCAAAATTAGTTCTTTTATATATGCATAAATCATAAGAACCTCCCAACCATTTGTTTGTTTTCAACGCTTGCTAACTTCCATAAATTAGTCACTTCAACAGCCTTCGATAGTTATGCAGATATCCACATACGAACGAGATGGATGCAGTATTCTTCGAATGTTATATTCCAGGATCTAATGAAGTAGACTTAATCAAAACAGTCCTTTTTAAATACTTCAAGTATTTTAAATATATTAATTATTCTTTCTAAAATGACAACAAAAATGGATATGTATCTTGTAAAAGTAAAAACACTTCCATATTTGATAAATATTTTCTGTAGTTCAATATTAGATTCTATTTCCTATCATATAAATTAAAATTAGATTATATTTCCTATCATATAAAAAAGATTATTTACTTTAAAACAGCAGTAACTACGGATATGATTTTCAATCAACAGGGTCAAAATGTAATACTTCATATGAGTTTATGTAGCTATTGGGCAAAAAGTATCTTCTATGGCTAAGGTAGTTACCTTACAGGAAAAGGGAGACATGGAATAGACACAATATACTATTAAATCCTATTTAACTTTATTCGCTCAATCTTATTATTTTAGTATTTGAGTGAAGTGAAGCAGGACAGACTCAATGAGATCAACCTAAATCTACAACATTTATTGTGGCAATACAATGTAATTGGGCGTTCATGTTTACCCATTCTGTCCACAAAGGTAATTGCCTGCTCGGCAAGAGGATAGAAGCAGAATTTATTCACTCAATTATACCTGCTCAACAATTTTGCTTCAAGGGATCCACCGTCTCCAAGTGCAGCAACCTGTATTTAGATACCTCAGACCATGCATACCAAGGTGAATAACACAAGAATACAGACTATCGAAGTAATTTTCCAAGCCATTTAAGCCATAGGCCAAACAGTGAACAAATGGCATTCAGGAAAAAATCGGAAATCATATTGTCGCTGGAGCCAGCAGTACCTAGATTTATGCACATCTTAACCAACAGACCAAGTGGCAATTGCCAATTGGGTCCAAGGAGCATATCCCTGTAATTTATGTGCAGCCTAACAAAATTGTATCTACAACATAAAAAAATGAAATGAAACAAACAAGATCAGTCCCTTAGTATGTGCATACCTGTTTTTCCAGTTCCCTAGCTCTAGCCTCTGCTTCTTCACGTTTTCCTTCCGCACGGCGAAGCTGTATAGCTAATCAGATTTTGTTATCCAGATTGACATTACAAACTAAAAGAATCCTCTTGCTTATGATTTGTGAAAGCATTGGCTAAAATCACATCAAACTAGTCCCCCCCCCCGCCCCCAAGGATAAGGCTCACCTTGTCTAAGATAATCTCATTCTCTTCTGCGAGGATGTCAAGCTGTAAGCAATGGAAAGTGACATTTCAAATACCAAGCTACTAACACCATCAAATAGACATTAAAAAGATGAAGGGACCAGAAAATGATCCCTGAACTCAGCATATTCTACTAGTGAAGCTTGTTAAAAAGCATGCTGAAATAATTTGATCTCATACTTCATCCTGAAGTGCGGAAGCCTCGTTCTGCTTTCCCGGCTCTTTTAAATCAATGCGCCCCACATCTGGTGAAAACCTAACACAGATGTTGAGAAGATCAATCTACAAAAATTTCAGATTCAATTAACTAATCTTGGAATAAATACTCTTTGACATATCACACCAATAAAAATATTATTAAGAAATGTGACATCTACATTGAAGTACTTTACTAATAACCAGCCTATTCATATGGAAATTCCACAGATAAATAGACATTACATTTATAGGTTAAGAAGTATTGAGCACTAAAAACATGCATATGATATTCTCAGAAAACTAGATTATGAATGTATAGTAAAATAAATCAGTTATTAAGTCGAGAAATATGATGAACCATCATTAGTTTCTAGCATTTTTATTTAGCACCTTCACAACAGCATTTTTCCCAAAATGAGAAAATTGGCAACATGTGATGTGTTCATAACGTCATATTAGAAAGAATTTGGTTCAATTGCAAAAGTCATTCAAGGAAAGGCCATATTGATACCGATAGGAATTGCTTGGGGTATATGACTACACATATAATTTAGATAAATGCCCCTTGAAGTTATATAAAGACAAAAAAAGCTCAATTCATTTAAGATGAAAGATAAATCATGCTCAATCCACATAATAAGATGAAGATAATATTGAAAACTCAACAAGGGAAGAAGAACCAAGTGATGAAGGAGCAGATAAAAATATTTTAGTTTAGACGGAGAGAAGAAGCATTAGAGTCTCATTGATCCTTTTGCAACAGAGAGGGAATCTGAGGTAAAACGTAGTAACTATATTTTGGTGCATGAATTGTAGTATTAACTAAGGGCCATTCTTGGTGTACACAAAATGTGTGCACAAATTGTACATTGCCTGTACACAGACAATTAGGGGGTTTTGGCATCAAATTCTGCCCCTTTTCAAAGGAACTGCTTGTGTACACAGGCAACTAGAGGAGTTTTGTGTACACTTTTGTGTACAACTCACGTATACTAAAAAACTTTCATTAACCAATTCTAGACAATTATATGACACTTTAAGTTTCATGTGACCCGCCTTAACATAGTTAGTATTAAGATTGTGCCATTGTGGTCATTATGATACTGAGGAAAAGAAACAAATTAAAAACTATAAACAACTATCGTTATTAAGGAACCATTTTACCTCTTCTCTCGTAGTATACTACTAGGGGGTTCAATGGGAGGAACTGAAGCGGGTGTTCTCAGAGAAGTTCTACTTGGTGGCACAACTGCTGCAGGTGAAGTGGTTGATCCGGTACGGACAGACAATGACGATCTTCCCGCAGATGTGGAGCGCACTGTAGGGGTGTGATCCATAAAGTTCCTACCTAACTACAATCGGCAGCACCAAGTTATGGATAGAGTGCAACTCGTAAAACCATTTAACCATTTCTTGGAGTAACTGATGCTTAAACCCTTATGAAAAAACAAGTCATGAAATTTGCAGCTAATAATGACTGAACTTTTGAATTACCGCAGGCGAGGGAGATCGATTGGGCTTAGCAATTGAGACGGCTGAAAACCCACTTCCGTAAGTATTACTATTACTGTGAGTACGGCCATTACCAGAGAAGGCAGAACTCGGCCGCCGGAACCCTAGATCATCGTCCTCTTCGTCGTCATCCTGCGTCTGCGAAGTAGCCATGACCTGCGCCAGACGCTGAGCAGCTGCCTTAGCGGCGACGTTCTGAGTCCTTTTGATAGTCGACATCCCCGCCGCTACCGGAGGCAGCCGCGAACGTGGATGCGCAGGTGATCGGACCGGTGACGATGACCCAGTGCTGCTCGATCCCCCGCTCCATTGCCTAACATAAACTGGACTCTCTGTCCTTCTCCGATCCATATATATGAGCTAGAACTAGAATTGACGGAGGGAAACAGAGACCGAGATTTTGTCCGTGAAAAATGGGAGGAGTAGGGGAATGGAACGGTATCGACTGATGCACCAAACCCGTGTGATACAGAAATTAGAGGCAATAACCCGTGATTAAAAAATGCTTTAATAATACGGAGGGAAACTCCTTTGTGTCTTAATTAACTAGTATTCCACCCGTGCGTTGCACGGAGGAAATTTTGTATAAGTGTAACACGAAAATTTTCATATAATATAAATAAACAATTTTCTCGGATAACTGTAGAAAAATTCAAAATATAATTGTAGTACAATTATATTAATATGCACGCAAACATAGTGAAGAAGGGTAGGGAAAAAAGTCACGATAATAAAAGAAGATCTCATTCTCACACTTAACAAAACATTATAACAACAATTTTTTTTGTGATAACCACAATTAAGTATGCATACAAATCATACATTCTGAAATACTTCTTTATATACGACATTAGGGGTCTTGTTTGTGGTTTCATTATTATCACCTATGATTAAAATCTTCAATCCTTTTGGACTCGTGACTCTGGAAACTGCTACATACAACTGTCCATGACAAAAAACCGGCTTCTTTAACAATAAACCAACATGCGAAAGAGATTGCCCTTGACTTTTATTTATAATCATAGCATAAGCAACCATAATCGTGAATTGCCTTCTTTGAAATTTAAAAGGAAGTCTCACATCCGAAGGAGTCAATGACAATCTCAAAATCAATACTTGTTGGCCCATACTTCTTCCTGTCAAAACCTTTGCCTCCAATATGTGGTCACCAAGTTTTGTAATAATCAGTCTCGTTTTATTTCACAGCCCCATGTAATGATCTATGTTACGCAAAAGCATGACTGGAGTTCCAACTTTCAATGTGAGTTCATGATTGGGCACACCTGAGATACGGATATTATTTAAGAATTCCGGTGTATGCAAATTCGCTAAAAGATCAACATTAGAATCTGATTTACAAATACTATCAGAACTGAAGTATGTTCTTGAAGGCTGTGAAGTGTTTAAAGAAATCATATAGTCATTTATTTCATCCACAACGCTTAATGTTGGGGCTAAAATAGCTCTATCTCGAAAATAACTGAAATCATCCTATTTGGATATTCTGGATAAGTGCTCTCAACATTTTTTTCTATTGGATCTCCTGAAGTGTGTAAAAGAAAATCTTCTGGTATTTCAATAGACACACAATTTTTATACCTTCGGGGAAAACGTACTTCTATAAAAAAGTTCGATCTAATGTTAAAAACTTCAATTTTTATACATAAAAAATGTTGTGTATTTTCTTGTATATTATAATTAATGTGTAACTTGGATTTTTTCTCTGCTATAGTTAAAAATGTCATTTTTTCTATAAATAAAATTACCTTGTATATTTATCAAAAAATATCTTGTAATAAGTGGCTTTTAGGCTTATCAGCTATCTTTTTAACCAAACACGTGCTGAATTGTGTAATAAGCAAAACAAAGTAAGGTTGGAGTTATTTTTCTGACTGTATTGACTGGAGTTTCTATATATGACCATTTTAGATATTTTACATATAATTTTTTAATTATTTTATTAATAAAATATATAGCATAAAAATAATTTTATCTTAAATCAGCAGAATCAACCAATGCAGTCACTTCAACTAAAAGTTCATAAATTTCAGCAGAATCAGCTAAATCAGCTGATTTCCGTGCTACCAAACTGGCTCTAAAATAGGCTGTCACACATGGTTAATGGGCCAAGTATATGTTAAGAATTCTCTATTTCAAAACAGGTCCGCCCAAACACCTGATTACACGACCTAATTAGCCGCTGCTCTCTCTCGATTGTGTATAATCGAAGGAAAACTTCTAGGTCTCCCAATTGCAGCGATTCATCTTCTACCGCTGCTCTCTCTCTCTCTCAGCTCTCTCTCTCTCTCTCTCTCTCTCTCTCGAAATTCAACGCTTCTGTCTCGATTGTCTCTTCCGCCGCTGCTCTCTCTCGATTGTGTCTATCTCTATGACAACTTCCATGTTGGAATGAAAGTTCTTGCGGTTGATGATGACCCACTTTGCTTGAATATCATGGTATGCCTTTTCTGTCTTTTCTTACTAAAACGGCACTATAATTCATTGATTTTATGTTTGAGAATTTTACAGAATTGAGCCGATAATTTCTTGTCTCTGAATTACAGATTTGTGAATTTATTGGCTGCGGAGTTTACTGATTTGCCGTTTAGAACTACAATTTTAAAGGGTAAGTTGTTAATACTCCAATAATTCTTTTAGTATTTTGTTAAATTCATCCGGAACCATGATTTTTTTTATATAAATCGGTATAATTGGTAGAAATCTCACACACACACACATATCTGTATCTTTGATTTGTAAGGACTGTCTTTACACCGGAAATCAATTTAGAAACGGTTTTCCTTCACTTGCCAGACCACTTCTAGCCGTCACCGACTGAGTTGATTTCATCCTCCCACCACGTTATCTCGTATAGGTATGATGTTGGCAATTCTTCGCTTCCGTAGATTTGTGTTCCGTCTTTGATTGAGGAAGATGATCTATGTTGTCCTTCCTTTTATTACATTAAAAGTGGACAGATTGTTTAGTTGGACGTGAGTCAGTTATTTAGTTTGTTATTTATTTGATACGGCCCATTCAAAATAATAGTAAATCCTTTTGTTATGAACAAATTATTAGTACATAATTATGTACTTTGTTTAACCTTTTGTTGTTTTGTAATTATTATCAAATGTCATTTGCAGGTGTCCTGCTTTTAATTACTATCTTAATAGAGCTCAAGAATGAAACAACAGCTAAGTAATTAGCTATTATGATTAGCATTATTTTCAATACTATTTGTTTAGAAAACAGGAAAATACATTTCAAAACATCTTGAAATCTTTCAATTTCACAGTTTTATTCTGTATTTCTGACAGTTTTAAAACAGTTATGTAAATAGATTTTTTTGAAAATATGCATGCGATAGAATATGTCCTCTGCCACAGTATCTATTATGTAAAACTTTCATTTCTTAATATTTTGTGTGTTTTCTTTCTCAAACGTTTTTTGAAAAATTAAATGCAACAAAACTATTTTTAATGAGTTAGTTTTAAAGTGAAAAAATTTATTTTTTCAACCACTTACTACTCAGGTCCATGTGTTTTGGTTGCATCTGACTCTTGATTTTTTTTTTGTGAAAATACTTTTTTTTGAACGGACTTAATTATATTAAATATATTATCTTAACCCATCAAATGTATAAGCCATACATTATTGTTTATACATCTTTTTATTATAATGCAGATTGTGGATTCTGTGAACTGTGTCACAATATTAAAGTTGGACATGTTATCAAACTTAGAAGATTCAAATTAGAAGATAAGTATCAATGATCAGATATGCTTATAATTATTCAATGATTTTGCAGAAGACTCATGAAGCTGAAATTTAGCTGAAATTTTGCAGAATGTGAAACATGAAAATGCATTTTTTAGAAATTATACAGGATTAATAAAGAAAGGATCAAAAGCGTTGCTAAAAAATTTGAAAAATGTGTTCACAAATCTAGCTTCATTAAAACTTTATAAAATGTGCTATCAATTCTTTTTTGCTATTTTGTTCGAAATGATTTTTTAAAATTAATATCAACACAATATTTTTTTAATCAGTCATTATTCTACAATATTCTTGTAAAATAATTACACATGGCATTCTTCTACTACTTTCCAATTTGGTCTATTTCCATTTTCTAAAATATAAATTCTGATTCTAATAAAAACGAAAAGAAAGTTTTGTTGTCTTGAACATGTACACATCATGATATCAATAGTTTCAGTGCATATTTCTGAGACAAATGCATAACCTGATATTTGAGAAACCATACCAAGATCTAAGTTATCTGTTATGTTTGTGTAGATGATATTTTTAGAAAAAAATATGCACCCACTTTGTTATGTTTGTGTAGATGATATTTTTAGGAAAAAAAACATGCACCCAATTGTTTTTTCTCTTAAATCTATATAAACTATAAATATAGAGTATCTTTATACGAAAATAGACATGTACCTTTATCTGGAGGTTCACTGCATCCTCTCTTTCCTTTGCCTATTAGAGTTACAGACTTAGTCAGCTTTTTCATGAAGTGAAATATATAGCGAGAGAATCCTTTTTCATGAAGTGAAATATTTAGTGAGAGAACCTAGAATTGCTTTGATAAATTTCTCCTCTACCAAACACACAGAATTAACAAATGAATAAATTTATGCTGGATAAGTATATAGAGATAAGATGCGTTGTCTATTTCTTTTATGAACGACCACCAAGGCATCTTGAATTTTGATGATGAGTCGAATTTGTCTTAGCCTGAAAATTGCATTCCTAATCTCATTTTGCCCCTATTTATATAGGGGAAATGGATCCGATCTCATAAAGCCAAGACAAAGATGCATTAAATACAACATTTGGGGAGGTGCAGTAGCCTACAAAACAGTGAATCAGCTGTATTGAAATACGAACTGTTTACTGTATCTTTATTGAAATACGAATTGTTATCTTTAAATTCTTAATGCTTAAATATTTAAATATTTTAATTTTAGCTACGGTTTTCTTTTGTGATATGACTTTTATTTATAGTCATAGCATAAGCAACCATAATCGTGAATTGCCTTCTTTGAAATTTAAAAGGAAGTCTCACATCCGAAGGAGTCAATGACAATCTCAGAATCAATACTTGTTGGCCCATACTTCTTCCTGTCAAAACCTTTGCCTCCAATATGTGGTCACCAAGTTTTGTAATAATCAGTCTCGTTTGATTTCACAGCCCCATGTAATGATCTATGTTACGCAAAAGCATGACTGGAGTTCCAACTTTCAATGTGAGTTCATGATTGGGCACGCCTGAGATACGGATATTATTTAAGAATTCCGGTGTATGCAAATTCGCTAAAAGATCAACATTAGAATCTGATTTACAAATACTATCAGAACTGAAGTATGTTCTTGAAGGTTGTGAAGTGTTTAAAGAAATCATATAGAGGAAATGTGTTTGTAATTAATATTTCT